AGAAAACAGGCTTTGACAGTTTTCACTCATGGGCTATATACTGATATCACTGAATGCTGAATTATGCCATCGTGTAATTATGAAAATGTTAAATAACTCTCTTGCAAACACGAACATCATAAACATTTTTTTTTTTAAAAAAAAGCTCGCAAACTGGCACACTGTGGTGTTTTATTTACTAATTGCACATTTTGGATGTGGGATTCATTAAAACTGGCTCAGAGTTTCACAAGCTTCATGGCTGGGTGCCTTTTCTATGCTCTGTCTCATGATGGACTGTAAATCAAGGGAAGGTGGAAGCATCTAAATCATTTCTAAAACTATCGTAGCAGATAATGTGAAAGGCCAGACCAACAGATGAATGTTTGGCATGTGGAGGAATGTTATTATTATTTTATTTTTATATGCCACCTTTCCTTCAAGATGGCATACATAGTTCTCTCCCTCTCCAGTATATTCTCACAACAACCCTGTGAATGTAGCCTAGGCTGAGAGGTGGTGATTGGCTCAAGCTCACTCAGTGAGCTTCATGACTCAGTGTGGATTAGAATCCTGCTCTCCCAGGTTCTAGTTGGAACGCTCCAACCACTATACCACATGACCTGTTACGACCTCTATATTGGTGATGGTGCAGTGCTCAATCCCATTGTGTGGCACCAGTATAATCATCCAGATGGGCCAGTGTAAGGAGCCTTTGATGAACCACATGTATACCTGGGAACTGAACATGGTGGCCAGGTTGAAAGCCAGAGAACGTGCCTGCAGGCCCAGCATCAGCACAGAGTACCTTGGGAAGCTGTCAAGGTCCCAGCAAGGTCCATTACAGCTGCTTGCTCTGGACTCTTTTTAAGGTGGCTGGATCTGGAACCTCTAGTTTAATTCCCCACAATGACTCTGATGGGCATTCTGGGAAATTGAAGGCCTAGCTTTTTGATCAGCATCAGTCAGGTGCGTGTCATGAATTACTGGGAGCTGAGCATGGCACTGTGGATGTTCTTCAACCATCATTAGACAGTTGGGGCTAGGACTCCAAGCACTGCTACCACCACTGTCACCAAGTACCAGGGTTAACCCAACTAGGAGGAGGTCCACCAGAGGGCACGTTGCTGAGGTTCAACTCAAATTTGGCATCAGCCCTGCATACATGTACCTTATTAAGCTCCTGAAATTGCAGGAGGGGGGGGGCAGATGTCAAGCTGAATGCATGCTCCCCAGATTTTTAACCTAGCAATTCCAGAGGTGAGATCTCATACAGTCTAATGGCCTTGCAGTAACTGGTAGCGTTATTCTGCTTCGCTTGGTGGTACATCAACACGAGTGCTGATTGCACAGTCTGTGGGTCATGTAGGATCTCAACTCTCAGGTTTGTTGAGCTCCAGCTACCTGCAGTGGCGCAGGAGTTCTGTGTGGAAGGGAGTATCCTGGTCCATGGCATGTCTGTTTTAGATCTTGCACTAGAAGAGCATCCCCATCAACCTGGTGGTGTGCAGATGTTTTGGACTACAACTTTCCATCTGCCACAGTTAGTGCTGCCATGAGATTGATGGGAGTTGTAATCCCCAAAAAATCTGCTGGACATTAGGTCACAGGAGGGGACTAGATTGCTGCATGAGAAAAGTCATACCTTATCCAGTGATGGCTCGGTAATGCTCACAAGCCCTTGTATAGACAAAAACACAAAAACTGCAGAAGCCACCTATCAGAGCACTGTGAATTTTTGTTCAAGCTGTTATATACAGTGGTACCTCGGGTTAAGTACTTAATTCGTTCCGGAGGTCTGTTCTTAACCTGAAACTGTTCTTAACCTGAAGCACCACTTTAGCTAATGGGGCCTCCTGCTGCCGCCGCGCCTCCGGAGCACGATTTCTGTTCTCATCCTGAAGCAAAGTTCTTAACCTGAAGCACTATTTCCGGGTTAGCGGAGTCTGTAACCTGAAGCGTATGTAACCTGAAGCATATGTAACCCAAGGTACCACTGCAATGCTGTTTTCTCTCTACTCAGTGGTTGTTTTTTTTAGCTGACCAATAGATGTGTGGTATTCTTGACCCCCATATCATAATTTCCATTTCTTCTTCTTCTTCTTCTTCTTCTTCTTCTTCTTCTTCTTCTTCTTCTTCTTCTTTAAAAAATGTGGCATATTTCATAAGAACATTTTGTGTTGAAGTAGGTTAGGTGAAATATCAACTAAATTTAAACCCAGGCCGACTGACTTCTCATTCTCTAGAGGGGCAAAGCATATGTTCAAGCAGGTTCTTAGTCACTGCTCTCTAGTATTAAAGCAGCTGCTTTCAGTCTGGTGCCGTGATTGTACTGACACATGGTGTAAGGCTGCCGCCTATTTCCCTGCTTTGCTCATGGGTCCATCTAGCTTAGTATTGTTGAAACCAATTGGCAGTAGCTCTCCGGACTAGAGTCTTTCCCAAGTTTTGCCCGGAGATACCAGATATGGAACTTGAGATCTTCTGCATGCAAAAGATGGGCTCTATGACTGCCTCCTGGCTCACTGGTAGACAATTTGCCTTGCACCTGAAAGGTCCCTGGTTCAATCCCTGGCATCTCCAGATAGGGCTAGGAATGGCCCCAGTCTGAAACACTGGAGTGCTGCTGCCAGTTCTTGTAGACAGCACTGTACTAGATGGACCAATGGTCTGACTCATTCTAAGCAGTCTCTTATGTGTGTGATCTTGCTCCCAGGCTTGCAGCAAGTGTTTGGAATTATATGCTGTATTTTCTACCCAATATTATTTTGCCTGTCTTGTCCTTGCTGTTGCATGGAACAATGCATGAACTGAGACCTTGTATCTGTAAGTAAAGGATTTTAAAGTTACTTAAGAGTGTGGTCTGCTCATGGTGGGAAGGGTAGAAACCGGTCAGCTGCTGTGTGCAGCTGAACGGGATGAAAAGGTCTTACAACCTATATTCCTAATGCTTTACTGTGCTGCTTATCTTTGTGAGTTTAATACTCTGCTACTGGGGCTCTCGGTGTGCAAGCCACTTGCTTTGAATCCTGGTACCCAGCCAATTAGGGACGCGGGTGGCGTTGTGGGTTAAACCACAGAGCCTAGGACTTGCTGATCAGAAGGTCAGCAGTTCAAATCCCCGCGACAGGGTGAGCTCCCTTTGCTCGGTCCCTGTTCCTGCCAATCTAGCAGTTCAGAAACACACCAAAGTGCAAGTAGATAAATAGGTAGTGCTCCCGTGGGAAGATAAACAGCATTTCCGTGCACTGCTCTGGTTCGCCAGAAGCGGCTTAGTCATACTGGCCACATGACCCGGAAGCTGTACGCCGGTTCCCTCGGCCAATAAAGCGAGATGAGAGCCGCAACCCCAGAGTCGGCCATGACTAGACCTAATGGTCAGGGGTCCCTTTACCTTTACCCACCCAATTTTTTGTTCAACCACAAATGTGGGTCCACAGGGATTCATTTGTTTTAATTCCTCACAAAAACAAACTTGGAGCCAGTATTGGTTTGTGTAAGTAGTAATAGTGTGAGTGCAAAACAGCTGCAAAGTAACAACTATTATCGATGAATTAATACAGCTTCCATCATGTCTCCAGCAAGATTTGCAATGAAGCCTCAGTATAATGGGGTTAAAGCCTGGTATGTCCCCCACCTCTATGGCTGGACCCTAATAAAATGTCTCCTTCTCAGCTCCTGTTTGAATAGACAACATATTCTCTAGATAGGATCTCTCTTGTTTTACTTGAAAAATATAAATGCTTTATGGTAGTTTCTTTTTTTGTGCTGGGCTGTAAAACTGACATTCTAATTAGGTGTAATAGCAAATGTACCTGTCAATGTTCATCATTTCGTATCACCCACAAAGAACCTCTTTGGATTTAAGCAAAGGCAAATGCTCTTGCATGTTGGATAAATGAAGTATGTGGCTTGTTCTGAGTGTTCCTGTAATGCATCGCTTTGCTCCTAACACAGTAAAGGTTGGGGGCGGGGAATCACTCATTCATTGGCTGATCTTGGGCTAGTCACCTTTTCTGTGCCTCAGTGTTTGCCAGCTGTAAAATGGGACCAGAATGGTCTCTAAATGATGTAGTAAAGTGCATGTACATGCATTCCATGTATTTTATATGCTATGCAGTGGTTTACCTTGATGCTTTTGCCACTGGGAACCAACTGCATGCATGCTCATCCATTTTCTTCTTGTGGCACATTTGAGCTGGGATTTTGCTGGCCTCACCACTGTTTACACTGTCCTACCCTCTCATGCACAAGAGTGTCCTGATTTTTGTCTGTATGGCCAATGTCACATGCTGAGCTACCACTGAGCCTTTTTCAGAATTGGAGTATGGCTCTAATACGACTACAATTAAAAATACTAATTTTTTTTTGCGATTTGCTGAAAATAATATGATCACCTGCAATTCTGAAAACAAAAACAGGTTTCTGCGATCCTCTTAAAACCATTGGGAGCAAACCCACGGAAAACAATAGCATTGGTCTTGAGGATCAGCTTTTAAAAACAAACAAACAAACAGAGCATTTGATTCACTGGGATCACAATTTAAAATGGCACAGAGTGATTTCTGCTAAAATATTGTGAGAGATAACCGTGCTACTCTTGTGTCTTGTTAATGGATTGTTCACAGCTCTTCAGAAGAGAGCAATACAATTTCTGATGGAGTGAAATGGGCTACAAGAACAGAAATACAGGCATGTGATCACTCTGTTTGGTACCCAAATACATTTGCCCTGTCATAATACTGGCATCTTTTCAAGGTATGTTGATGTCTGGGTTGCTGCCAGGGAGCAGTGCACAAAATGCAAGAAGGATACAGCTTTGTGAAAATGAGCACAGCCATATATATATATGATGCATATTTTAATCTCAATGGTGTTTTCAGTTCAATTGATATGATTCCAGAGGATCTGAAATGTCCTTCTGCCTCTGAATTGCATATGATTTCTTTCTGATAATTTCCCCGTCACCTCATACTGTGGAGCTTTCCACTCAGAACAGCAGCGTTGCATGTTAAGAAGTGGTCATGCAAGCAAATTGAGATAACCTGGATATGTCATTTTGCCTGGCTTTCTCTCTCTCTCTCTCTCTCTCTCTCTCTCTCTCTCTCTCTCTCTGTCGCTCTGTTTCAAAGCAATGTGTGTTGCATAATGGCTGTTTTCACCTTTAATTGCCTCGAGATTAAGCAACAACCAAATCATCGTTCTCTATAATGGCCACCCGAGGATTTATAGTAACGTGAGTGGAGAGCTGAAGGATGTGGCTTGCTCTGTTTCGATGATGCGGGATTGCTCTAAGCAGCAAGCTTAGTGTTTTCTGAAAACATTAGCAGCATCGCTGATGTAGCTGTGCCAGCCTCTTTCTCTACTAGATGACTGGAACTGCTCACAGGGGGGTGGGGTGGGGGCAAGGGAACTATCTTTGAGATCCGATCTGTCGAAAGGAGCTCGCTCATCATTTGCTAAATGGAGAAACCTGATGTTTTCCTTGCTGGCCCGGAAGATGCCTGAGAGATAGAGAGCGAGAGAGCGAGAGTGATGCATTGTTATAAGGCAGGGAATGCTTTCTGGGAATAGAAAGGTCATGCATCTTGGGATCGGGGAGCCATTCCAGTCTCTAACCAGTCACCAGGTATGGCCTTGTGGTTTATATTCCTATTTGTGGCTTACATTATTATTTCAAACACTGCCTTTTGCATTTCTTTTCTGGTTCATTTTAAAATGGGATCAAGTCGTCATGTTTTTTAAATGCTGGATTCCATGCGGGATTTAGACTACGGGCAGCTTGTCTTAAAATGCAAGAAGGTATATGGGTGGTTTTTTTGGGGGTGTGTGTGTATTAGAAATAAAAAGTCGTAAGGGTATTTTAAAAGAGACAGCAAATATTCAGTGTGTAGATGTTGTTCTGCTCATGTCTGCTGAAACATATATGCACCAGTTCCATGGAATAAAGCATCAGAACCGTGGAATAGCTCACAGCATGAATTTGGAGGTTTGTACTGCTTGTTGGGCTGAGGATACAAAGGTCATTCGCACAGTGGCATGTTAATTAGGATTGCACATCCTTTTCATGAAAGCACATTGTGAACCATCCTGCTTTATGAAAAGTGGGCTGAAAACAGCCTATCACAATCAAGGCTGGGGATAAGCCATTCTGCATAAGGCATATTTTTTAAAAATAGTAGATGTAGGTTTGATTATTTTTTCAAGGCTTGACGTTTACATTTCAAGCAGCTGCCTTGCTCCTCTGAAGAGTGCAAGGATCTTTTCCCCCTAACAACTTTTGTTGAGAAAAGCACGCACAAATGGCTTGAGAAGCTGAGGTGGGGCTTGATTTTAAAATATTGAATATTTAAAATATTTCAAGCCCTACAAATATTTATATATTTATACTGTAGCATTCCTTATTTTTTTCTGCATTCAGCCCTCACAAATCCCATTGCTATCACAGGTTTTATAAAACCTGAAGCAAAGTTTCAGGAATGGGAAGCGGCTGGGTCTGTATTTTATGTAACCTTTCAACCACCATAGTGTCTCCAGCAGCCTATTTTGATGTGCTAGGGGTGGGCGGTGTGGGGCGGGCAAAGAAATTGAAAACAGTATAATCAGCTTAACCATGTTCATTGCAAATGGCGCTGAATAGCCAAAGGTAGGGGCTCTTGCTTGTGCATCGCTCATAGTGTGTAAGGAGATTATGTCTAAAAGTAGACACAAATGTGATTCCTTTCTCTCTCTTTCTGGCAATGGCTTTGAATATCAACTTAACTGCTTCCGACTTGTTTGCTGGACATTTCCATGGTAACCTGTTAGGATGTGTCATAAAGCAGTGGTTATTAAACTTCCCACCCCCTCACCCGCCAGACCATTGCTGAGGAATTGGGGCCATTTAATGATTTTTCTTCCTGTTATAGCAATTGCAAGGTGCTATGCTAGACGTTTTTCATTTTTTAACTGAGTTTTCATTGCTGCTTTCATTTGTTTTGTTGAATTCCATGGAATTTGGACTACACTATGATAAGAAATAAAAGAAGCAATTAAAAATCCAATTAAAATCTGGGTGGCTATTTAATGGGGTGGATGTGCCATCTCCTGTCTTCAGTCACTAAACCGCAGATGACTTGACATATGCAGATCACCTGACCACTGGTGGTCCATCCACCACACTTTGGGGCCCCTGTTTTAGTGACAATAATATAAAGGGAAACATTGGTTATATTCCTGTAGCATTTCATGTACAGTTGATGTTCAGTTTCTGCAAGTAATGCTCAGATTGGTCCAGGAGGTGGGTGTTTTCTGACCCTTGAGGGCTCATGGATTTTTAAAGGGTGAATATGTTTATAATCCAGAAGGCAGACATATAAAAAGTTCAGTGGTTTGGTTATTTTAAAAAATTGACATGTATTAATTTGTTTCTCTGGTTGCTTACTTTCTTAGAAATGCATGTTGGAGACCCTGGCAGAGGTCTAAAGCTATGGCTCACGCAGGAATCTGGTCAATCATTTTTAATTAAAAACATATATTAAAACAATATTTGTTTTGTGGCTTGTAACTATAATTGATATGTTTCCTGGTGTACTTATCCAGCTTACGTTTTGATTAACAGTAGGGGAGATGAACACATTCTTAAGCTTGATTAGTTTTGGAATGGGTTTAATGTTACTTTTACAGTTGCTACAAACCATGTTTAATCATCTTTCAGAATTGAGTTTTGGAGAATTTTAATGCAAGGAGTACATTCTGTTTCTTGGCAGCTGCCTGAAATTCCTGTGGGTATTCTGGTGATCTTTCAGGCTAGTTTTGATTTTATTTTTTTTCATGAGGACCAGATCATCTCAAAACGAATATGTTAGAGCTGGAAAAGCTTCAGAAAATGGCAGCCAGGAGGATAAGTGGTTTTGAGCAACTCCTCTTTGAGGAAAGGTTTGGAATTTTTTTTCCTTTAGGAAAAAAGACAAATAGGAGGGACACTGTGCATGGTGCAGAGAAAGTTATGCAAAAAATAAATAAAATTCTCCCCATTTTGCATATTAATAGAACCCAGGGTCATCCAGTGAAGCCAAGTGGTAGAAGAATCAGGATAGACAAGAGGAAGTAGTTATTTACACAGCAGACAAGTATACATTTTGCTAATTCAAGATGTGTTGATGCCCACCAACCTAGATGGCTTTCAAATAGGATTAGCTGTATCTGCCATTAATCTGCCTATGAATGGCCAGTGGTATTAACTGTCTGTACTCAGAGCTACATGCATGTTAAAATCAATGATATAGGCTCTTCTCAATTGCCCATTATGAGATTGGTGAGCACAAGGAGCAGGGCTTTCTCTGTGGTGGCCCCTCGATTTTAGAATTCTCTACCAGCTTTCCCCTGTAAGGCTATTCCATTTCAGGCCTCCAGAAAGGACTTGATGATCCACTGGCCTGGTATGCAAGTCACATTAAGTGAAACCATGGCTTATTGTGAATGCTGATATGTTTTTATTTATGCAGCAATAAAATACAATAATACCGGCAATAATAAGCACAAATGCTTGTGAAACCTCCAAGTAGCTTTGTATAATAGGCTTAAGTAAGATTGATAGCACCACTGGAGACAGAATGAGCTATTAACTAAGATAGTTTATTAAAAGGATATTATGTACATTAAGAGAGTAATGGTTTGTTTGCTTGTTGGAAGCAGCAATAAAACAACTGTTAGCACATACAGTATCCACACTTTGAGAAGGCTCTTAAAAGAATCAAATGTGTTCAGAGTAGAATGGAAATAATATAAATTGATTGAATGCTTAGTAGAACTTAAGCATGGGCAGCGTGAACAATTATTAATTATAAACCATTTCTTGCTTTACATAGCTTTGAATCTTAGAGGAAAACTCAAGTTCTGCTATGTCAGTGTCTTATTTTATAAAACTTGAAGACTGTGTCTTTCCATCAGAACTTGGTTTCTTCTGTGTCTCCCATTGTTTTGTTTTGTCTACCATATGTCTTAATATAACTCTAGGGTTGTCACCTTTGATCAGGCAAAACAAAGGATAGGTTGGGCAAAATATACGACATGGGGCTAAAAATTACTTTACCCGGTGCAGAAATGACTTCAAAGCAATCCATTACTCACTCTCGCTCTCTGTGAGTAATGTCACAGTCTCCAACCCAACCACTGCTACTAACAATGTTCCCACACGGTGCTGATCTTCTCCTCTGTTTCTCACTCTCTGTCCCAGGAAGGGACAGTGGCAGCTCCATCCCACCAGGGGAGCTGCTTCTGTGTGGAGGCTCCTCTTCCTTGCTCTTGTTTCTGCTTGCACAAGGCAAGTGAACAGGCAGCAGCAGTGAAGGGGAGCAGGGCCAGGGGGTTTGGAGGATTTGGAGAACTGGGGAATGGGTTTCCAGTGGAAACCATTGACCTGTATTTTCCAAGCATATTGCATTTGGCTGGCTAGTTTTTTCAAACAAACAAATCATTTACAAGCAATTAAAGTTGTTGTGGGATCTCTATGAAGTGATTTGAAAATGCAAACAGTGTCAGAACTGAGTGTTTTGAGAAAAAAATCAGTGTCCTGTACACTGGAAGAAGAGGGCTAAGCTGTAACAACAGAAGCCTCCTCCAGGCTTCTCCAGCAGAGATTCCGTAGGCATCCTCACTTTTGACTTCCTTGAAGACCTTTTTATGCCGGCAGGTCTGTGCAGTTGTTTAAAACGGTCTTGATTAGCCAGTCCTCTGAATGATTGTTATGCACTGTTTTTTAAAAATAGTGTTTTATGATTTCATTTCCTGCATATTGTCATACAGTTCATGAAATGGCAGTGAATAAATGCTTTTGTAAATAAATAGTCAGATGAATGCATGAACACTCCTATTAGATAGTGAATGCACCATTTCCGAAATATCTTAAGTGTTCTGCACCTTCCTCTCCCAACCTTTGCATACTGAACATGCAGGAAGATTCAACCTGCATTCATCTGAATGTGGTTAGACTCCTCATGCCTATTGAGAAGCTAATCGTACAGAGTTCTGGTTCATAGGGAGGATGCTAAATGTGCTTAACTAAATGTAGTTTGAGTCACCTTCATAGGTTCAAAGAGCTGACATGCACAGGGATGATGGGGCAGACGTTGTGTGTGCACCCCCTTCACATTATAAGCCCACATACATACTTTTGAACATTTGAACAATCTTACCTACAAGGATTAACATCTGCCTTGTGTTGTCTGCTTGCTTTGAACTCCCTCTCTAGCAACCAGTTCAGCTGCTATGATGCCATGGGATGTTAATAAATGTTCTAATGGTCCAGAAGGAATGTGGATACACAATTCACTTCCTGTGAGAGAAGGGTAAAGGGCAGAGGTGCAGAGATATGAGGGGCTGTCGTCTGGAAAGCAGACAAGGCATGCAGTTGTTTGGAGATGGGATGCTGGACAAGCAAGGACGCTTTGGTTTTGAAGTACAGCTGGGACCCAGCATGACCCAGATGCATAGGGAATGAAGGGAGAAGGGAAGAGAGGACGGCTAGCAGAAATGTGAAGGCACAATGGTCAAATGATAAGAGTTATGAGGGAAATGGGTGGAAGACAAAGGAGGACATGGAGGAAAACCTCAGGCGGGATTTGGGAGTAATTGGGCCTTTCTGCTTTG